CCCAGAGCTGAATCAGAAGCTGGATACTTGGGAGCTTGAACCAGCACCCATATGGATGTTATCATCACAGCTGGCAGCTTGAGCAGCCAGCTCCAAAAGTATGTATTTTCAAAGATGGTGTTGGCAGTAGGGGACAGACATTAAGGCAGAGCACGTTAAACCACTGCTTGGGGTGCCCCACATCCCACATGGGAATGCCTGGGTTGGAGTCCTCACTCCTCTTCCAATCCAGCTTCCTGCCTGTGCACTCCTTGGAAGGCAGCAGACACCTCAAGTATTATCATCTTACAGAACCCAAGTTCAAAGTTCCTGGCTTCTGGCTTCAGCCTGTTGCAGCCCTAGCAACTCTAGGTATTTGGAGAATACCAGCTGATGGAAGCTCTGTCTCCTCTGCGCTCTGCCTTTTCAAATAAATACACGAGTCTCTGCCCAGCTGGCACCTTCCACCCCTCCCACTCCTGCTGCCATCTACCACAAGCGCCAAACATCCTCCCTACACGGGAGACGCAAGGCCCCTCTAGCCTTGGGGCATCGCACAGGACCAGGGTGGCATGGAGAAGCAAGGGGCCTTGCTGGTGGCCAGCAGCGTGCCAGAGCATGTGGAGCCTTGCCAGCTGTCCACAGCTTCCACCTCACAGCAGCACAGGTGACAAATGGCCGTTGCCCCAGGAGGGCCCAGACCCCTCAGGGCAGCCTCAGCGAGGGGATGACACAGCACCGAGTCCCACTGCTGCCCTATACCAATAGCAGAGTGAGGATGGCTGGTGAGTGGCTGGCGTTAACACCTGGTACTGGAGCTCAGCCCTGTAGCACTCAGATGGGACAGACCAGCCCAAAGCCCAGCTCTACTTCAAACACCTGCCAGGGACCCTGGGGACAGGAGACCCAGGAAGAGGGCCACCAGGGCGCCCACAGCAGTATCTGGAGAGGGTCCTGCGCAAACAGCCAGCCTAGGCATAGGCAGCAAGGGGGTCTGCAAGAGAGCGGAGGGTAAAATAGGCTGGGCCTATGTGTCATAAACCCCTTGGGGCAGCTGTCCGCCCAGGGGGAAAGAACCTGGAGTCATTCTCCGGGGTTTTGCTCAGCCCTCAGAACCTTCACTTCCCTCCACAACCCGCCACCAAAGCCTAAAACAGAACAGCAGGTACAGTGTTGTCAGGAGCAAACAGGAGGTTCGAATATCAAGTACCCAACTTAACAGCTCCTGTAAAGGCTTCTTAACCTATCTTATTTCAGTTCCCACATTGATAAAACTATGATAAATTCACCAGTTCATACTGCTGTTGTGTAGACTCAACAAGTTAACACGGTGAAGGAGGGCCCAGCCCGGCAGCCTAGTGGCTAAAGTCCTCGCCTAGAACGTGCTTGGATCCCATATGGGTGCTGGTTCTAATCCCAGCAGACCCGCTTCCCATCCAGCTCCCTGCTTATGGTGTGGGAAAGCAATGGAGGATGGCCCAAAGCCTTGGGACCCTGTACCTGCATGGGAGACCTGAAAATTCTTGACTCCTGGCTTTGGATTGGCACAGCACTGACTGTTGAAGTCACTTGAGGAGTGAATCATTGGACAGAAGATCTTCCTCTCTGTCTAGACCCGTGTGGGAGACCTGGAGGAAGTTCCTGGCTCCTGGCTTTGGATCAGCACAGCACCGGCCGTTGTGGTCACTCTGAATCATCGGATGGAAGATCTTCCTCTCTGTCTCTCCTCCTCTCTGTATATCTGAATTTCCAATAATGTATCTGTCCACCTATAGTTTTCACTTTTTTTTTAACATTTATTTATTTTTATTGCAAAGTCAGATAGACAGAGAGGAAGATCTTCCATCTGCTGGTACTCCGCAACAGCCAGAGCTGAGGTGATATGAAGCTAGGAATTTCTTCCGGGTCTCCCACATGGGTGCAGGGTCCCAAGGCTTTGGGCTGTCCTAGACTGCTTTCCCAGGTCACAAGCAGGGAGGTGGAAGGGAAGTAGATCAGCCAGGATACAAACTGGCACCCATATGGGACCCTGGTACATGCAAGACAAGCATTGTAGCCATGAGGCTATCACCAGGCCCTAAAACCTTTTTTAAAAATATTTTCAGGGCCTGGTGCAGTGGTCTAGGAGCTAAAGCCTTCACCTAGAATGCTCTGGGATCCTGTATGGGCGCCGGTTCTAATCCCAGCATCCCTGCCTGTGGCCTGGGAGAGTAGTCAAGGATGGCCCAAAGCTTTGGGACCCTGCACCCGCATGGGAGACCCATAAGAAGCTCCTGGCTCCTGGCTGCTGTGGTCATCTAGGGAGTAAACCAATGAATGGTAAGGCCTTCTCAATCTGTCTCTCCTCTCTGTGACTGTCCTTCAAATAAATAAACCTTTAAAAAAAAAAGGTCCTGGCGCAGTAGCCTAGCAGTTAAAGACCTTGGCTTGCGCACACTGGGATCCTACATGGGCACCAGTTCTAATCCCGGAGGCCCCCACTTCCCATCCAGCTCCCTGCCTGTGGCCTTGGGAATGCAGCAGAGGACAGACCAAAGCCTTGTGACCCTGCACCCACGTGGGAGACCTGGAAGAAGCTCCTGGCTTCGGATTGGCTCAGCTCAGGTTGCTGTGGTCACTCAGGGAATCATCGGATGATCTTACTTTCTGTCTCTCCTCCTTTGATCTTCCTCTCTGTATGTGTGGCTTTCCAATAAATATAAATCTTAAGGAAAAAAAAAAAAACCAGCAGCTGCATCAAGCTTCTTTACTATGCATAAAACAGTGAACATGCAGAAACACCCGTTAAACCAGACATCTTGCACCTGTAGGAACTGAGGGGCTCGGGGATGTGTGTGTGTTAAACATTTACTTACTATTGTAAAGAGACAGAGAGAAAAACAGATATGCATGCATCTCCTGGTTCACTCCCCAAGTGGCCATGACAGCTGGAGCTGAGCGGATCCGAAGCCAGGAGCTTCTTCTGGGTCTGTCGCACGGGTGCAGGGTCCCAACGCTTTGGGGGCCATCTTCCGCTGCTTTCCCAAGCCACAAGCAGGGAGCTGGATGGGAAGTAGAGCAGCTGGGCCACTTGAACCAGTGCCCATATGGGATGCTGGTGCTTGGAGGCGGAGGATTAGCCAGCCGAGCCAATGTGCTGGACCCAGAACTGAGGTTGTAGGCCAGTTACTGGCTGTCCTGTTTCTTCAGCTTGCTCTAGCTGACCTCTCACAGTTCACTGGGAAGGGCCACCACAAGTGAATCAGCAGTTAGTGCAGTGTCCCTGACTTCCCAGGGGGCACGCACAGTCAAGGAAGGAGTCCCACCCTCAGCCCCGGGGGGTGGGGGGGGTCCCAGAAGGGGAGGGGGCTATTCTTTGCTCTGATCAGACATACTGAACTTTTACCAAGCAAGACAACAGCCGGGGTGCACAAGCCCTGTCAACGGCCCATGCAGATCCCTGGCTTTGCAGCTCCCCGCTTTTTGAAGATCTCTCTCTCCCTCCCTCCCTCCTTCCCAAAAAAGGCACTTGGAGACCAAAACCACCCAGGCTTGTTTGCAAGACTTCAGCTGGTCCACAGGGCTCATCCTTCCTCCCTTACACAGCTGTGCAGTCTGAGGCCAGGCCAGACCCAGCCCGGCAGGTGGACAAAACCCTGCTGGAGCCACACAGTGGGGTTCTGGGGGCAGCCAACTTCCCAGGAGACACTGCCCTTTCCCTACCACCACCACAGCAAAAACCCAGTCCCCCACCCTCAGAGGGAGATACTGAACAACCAAGCAGAACCAAGATGCTTGTGAACAAGCAGGCCCAGGCCTTCCCTAACAAACAAGAGCCGCACACAAGGGCCAGAGCCACTGTAGCGCAGAGGAGGCACTCTGCTGCCCTGGGGCTGGGGAAGGAGGCAGCTTCTCTTCCCTGCCCCCCATCATGAGCTGGACCGCACCACACCACAGCTGGACCACTGCAGGCAGCTCCCAGCCCCAGTGGCAGCCAATCGCCAATTCCAATGCCTGCGCATGGTGATGGCAAAGCTAGGTCCAGTGAGGGACTCTGTGGCCTTTTCCCATCCGCCCCCCGACCTAGGGGAAGGGACTCAGCGTGGATAACCCACTGTGGTTTCCTGGGCGAGATCGTGCTATGGGCGGGGCAGGAAGGATCCTTCAGCCCTGAAGTGACACAGCACAGACAAGAGCCCTCCACCCCGACCCCCAGCCAGTACATGCCCACCAGGTCGTTTCTCTGAGGTCCCCAGCCCTCCCACCTCCGCTCCACCCCCACTCCAGGTCCAGGTCCCCAATTCATGGATAACTCCGCGGTTTTATCTTCCACCTGATGTCACACACACGTCCCACCCACCACACCGCCGCGGGCTACTCCACCAAAGCAACCTCACATTCCCATCTTTTTAGCACACGGCTGGTGGACGAGACAGTGTCGCCTCTCCCGCCCCCACACCCCGACAGACACGCATGGGACCGGTCTGGGGTCCTGGTTAGGTAGGTTACCCAGAATGCGGAACCGAGGGTCTCTGGCCATCCGCTACCCCAACTTCTATTAAATTAACCAGCTCACCGACGCCAAAGGCCAGGTTCTGGGGCTGCCAAGAAAACCCGCCCGCCTCCCGCGACTACAGCTTGAGGTGCCGGGCGGCCAGCCCCGGCCTCCAAGGTCACGGGGAGAGGTCAGAGTGGAGAGGGTAAGGGAGTGAGGGTGCGGCCCGGCGCCGGGATAGCCCCATTCAGCCCCCCTTGAGGCGAGGCGGGGGTACCGGGCCACACGGGGAAACGAACCTCCGGCCCGGGCAGCTGGCGCCGCTCGCGCCCTCCGCCCCGGACGGACGACCCACCGCGAGCCCCGGAGGGCGGAGAGACAATGCCCGCCGGCGGGGCAGCCCAGGCCGCACTCGGCCGGACGCTGCAGTTCCTCCCCGGGCCCAGGGCAGTGGCGGGAAGGCGCTGGGCGCAAGGGCCGGACCGGCGCCCTCCCCGCGCCCACCTCGGCGTGCGCTTCGCCGGCCAGTGCGGAGCCGCAGACCCACCTCCTCCTCCAAAGCGGAGCCGGAGCCCGCGCCCGTGCCTTGCTCGCCGTCCGGCTTCAGGTTGCTCATGGTGCGGGGGGCGGCGACGAGGGGAAGAGGGAAACGCGGCGCTCGGCCCCGCGGGGAGGTGGGCAGGGCGCGGGGAGCGTGCGCTCCGGGCGGCGCGGGCAGTGCGAGAGGGGCGGTCGCGGCGTCGGGCTGGGGTGGGTCACATCAAGTTTGGCGGGTGCGGGAGGCGGGCAGGGGACCGGGAACCCGAGCCGAGCTCGCACGGCCGCCGCCTCCGCCTTTTCACTGCGACCAGCCAGTGCGCCCGCGGCGGCGGCGGGGGGCGGGCGCCGGAACCGGCCTCAGCTGGGGCGCGGCCAGCCCCCTCCCCGGCGCCCGCCCCCCGCGCGCGGCCTCGGGGGAGCGCGCAGCCAATCCCCGGCGCCCCTCGCGGGCTGCGCCCCGGCCGGAGCACGCCGCGCCGGCCCCGCCGGGCCTGTGCCCCTCGGCCCGCTCGCTCCCTCTCCGCTCCTCGCCCGCCGCGATCCCCCACGACAAGTTTTTAAACTTCGGTGAACTCTGCCGGAGAACTTTCTTAAAGGGGCCGCGCGCTGTCCGGCCTTCGGGACGCGTAAGCCCAGAGTCTGGCGACCTCCCCTGCCCCAATCGGGTGCCCGTGCATCCGCGCTCAGGGCGCCCGCGTCGAGGCTCCCGAGTCACCCATACTCTTTGTATTCTGGTCCAGGGCTGGGGTGTCGCGTCCTCCTTGGCGACCCCTCAAACCCAGTTGCACCCGGTCGGGGTCCGCGCTCTCCTGCCCCAGCGGGGGGGCGGGGTTCTGGGAGCGCTGAGGGGGAGGGGACGGACACCTGGGCTTTAGCCCCGGCCGGGTTGTTGCAGCCTCGTTTTGCGTCGTGACCTTGAGGAAATCTCTTCCCTTCTCTGGCCTCAGGCTCCCAGCCCTGAGGGTGGAACTTGGGATCTCAAACTTTAGCTGGGAAGACCAGTCTTCACGACCTGAACGGTGTTTACCCCGCTGCAGATCCGTCGAACAGCCAAGAAAGTTCCGTCCGCCCGCTCGCACCTGCCCTGTTTTGGGGTCTTCTTACCCCTACCCTCCCTTCCCAGCTGAAGTTAACCCACACCCGACTTTCCGGTCTGTCTTTGGGGGGAAGAGGGAGCAGCTTCGCGACGACTCCTGCATTCAGGGAGCGAGGGCGCAGCCCCCGGCTCAGTTTTCTCCATTAAAATCCGCACCGCCGAGGGCTGCCCCGGGCCCCTTGCGGCCACCGCCAGCGCCGGCAGAGCGTCCGGCCGCCCTCCTACCCTACTCCGGCTGCTCCCGGGGACCCCGGCTCTAGAAGCGCCATCTGGCCGCGAAGAGCCACAACCCCGAGGTGAGAGGAACCGCCCGCGCCGGCGTCACCCTGCGCGACCGACGCCCGCCCGGCGCCTGGTTTCTGTCCTAACTTAACCCGCCAAGTTAAGTCTTAGCACCTGCGCTGAGAGCGACGAGCGGTGGCAGCGACCTCGGAAAACCCGGGTGAGCATCCCAGACCCTGGACGAGTGCGCAGCCTCCGTGTGTCCAGCACCTGCTTGGTAAGGTTCGAGCGCGCCAACCACTGCAGCACCCTAGTGTGCGGGCGCGGCTGAGTTTCCAGCCAGCCTTCTCACAGGTGAGTAAATCGAGTAGAAGGGTGGACAGGATTTCTTCCTAAGGGCACATTGATTTATTTAGTAAAATTAATTATCACCTACTGCTGTAGTGGACCGCGGGACTGCCCTGAGCAGGTGGTCTGACTGGAGAAGCCTGGGCTCCCATCGTGCCCCACGCCCCTTGCCGGTACTTGTTTTGGACCTAGTGTGAGGACAGCCAGCCAGCCCCTGGTAGGCACTAAACTAGATCTCGAGTTTTTGAGGTACTTTCAGCCTCCAGGTAGATGCAACCTTGTGAACCCACTGACCAATCTGGCTTTATCTAATCCACACACCCCTAGAATACGTTCTCCCCTCCCACACTGTCTCCAGCTTTGGCCCCAGAATATTCTTCTCCTTGGCTGTTTTGCTATCTTGGCTTGAAAGGAACTCCCTGCTGTCTCCCTACATAAATCCGAAACTCCACTTTCCTTAAGATCCTGTCCCAGGAGGAACAGCTTGGCCAATTTTCGAGACTGTGGTCAATTTGAATTGTTCAAGGAAAGAGCTTTTGAAGTTCTGAAAGCTGAAGCTCAGAGGGAACAGTGACCCAGGGGCAGCAATGACAGGAAGTAGATGATCCTTTTTTTTTTTTTTTTTTGCAAAGTCAGATCTGCCGAGAGGAGGAGAGACAGAGAGGAAGAGCTTCTGTCCGATGCCTGGATTAGAACTGGTGCCATATGGGATCCCGGCTCACTCAAGGCGAGGACTTTAGCCATTAAGCCACCATGTCTGGCATAGTTATTAATTTTTTTTGCAAAGTTAAACATACAAGAGGAGGAGAGAAACAGAGGAAGATCCTCCATCTGATGGTTCACTCCCAAAGTGACTGCAATGGCTGGTGCTGCGCCAAGCCGAAGCCAGGGGCCAGGAGCCTCTTCTGGGTCCTCCACGTGCCTACAGGGTCCCAAGATATTGGGCCATCCTTGACCGCTTTCCCAGTTTGTGGCTTTCCCAGGCCACAAGCAGGGAGCTGGATGGGAAGCAGGGCCACCGGGAGTAGAACCAGCTCCTGTGTGGGATCCCAGTGTGTGCAAGGTCTTTAGCTGCAAGGCTACTGCGCCAGGAAACTTTTTTAAAATTGTATCAGGTATCTGAAAAGCAGAATGACAACAAGAAAGACAGAAAGAAAGCGATTATCTACTAGTTCATTTCCCGAATGTCTCCTGGCTCCAGGGCTAGGCTAGGCTAACTAGGAGCCAGGAAGATGGTCCCATCTCCTATATGAGTGACAGGAAACCCAAGCATTTGGGCCAGCCACCACTGCTTTCCAGGTGCACTAGCAGGGGGCTGGATTGGAAGGGAAACCTCTGAGACCTGAATCAGAACCAGCACTGGGATATATGGGAAGCTAACATCAAAAGCAACATCCTGAGCAACTGCATGCAATGGGATCCCCGCACTTCCAAGATTAGGATTTAGTCATTAAGCCAACATGCTGGATCAAAGGCATTTTTTTTTAATTGGTGCTTACATGTTGGAGTTGCCCTGGGGTGGGGGGAACAGATCTCAGAAGGGAGACCCCCACCCCATCCTACCTCCCATTATGAATGCACTTTCTCCCTCATCTTCCTGTTGCCCCTGCTATCCAAGGTTCCTACGTATTAGGGCAGCTTCCCCCAGCCACTATTAGATGTCCCAGTGGTGGGGCAGCTGGATATAGCCCTGTAGCAGGATACTAGTCTCTAGGCCACGGTGGGTAAGGTGGGGACCCACTGGGTGGGAGCTCGCAGTGGGCTCTTGGGGCCTACGATGACCACCATCCCACCTGGAGCCAGTTGCGAGCTCCTGATCAGAGACTGGGCCGTTGCAGCCTGGAGTCCCTGAGCTCTTGCCTTCTCTCGCCTCTCTCTGAGCCACTTTGTAAACCTGGATCCCAGGTTCAAATCCAAGACAGTGCTTCCCAGGTAGTCTGTGTCCAGGTGACCATGGCAACTTGCATGACCACCTGCAGGTCAGGTGACCTTGCAAAGGCTTTGTGTGAAACCACAGACACTTTACAGGCTTGGTGTGTTAAATGAGATTCTGACTCAGCAAATGTCTTTGATGGGCTTCAAAGCTGCCGTGTACCAGGGCGGGGAGAGTATAAAAGAACCTGACTTCAGACCTGGCCTTCCTGAGACATGGGGTGTGTGCCCCCCTCCCCCGCCCCGAGGAATTTCAGCTGCTCCCAGCACATGGCTGAAATTGAGCAGAGGCCACTGAAGATTAGCACTGTGTCTGCTGTTCATCTTTTTAAGAATTATTTTTTATTTGGAAGGCAGAGTTACAGAAAGGAGAGAGATCTTCATTCACTGGTTCACTCCCCAAGGGACCACACAGCCAGAGCTACGCCAATCTAAAGCCAGGAACCAGGTGCTTCTTCTGGGTCTCCCACATGGGTGCAGGGTTCCAAGGACTTGGGCCATCCTCCGCTGCTTTCCCAGGCCACAGGCCGGGAGCTGGATTGGAAGTGGAGCAGCCAGGATTAGGAGTAGTGCTCCTATCAGATACAGGTGCTGCAGATAGAGGATTAGCCTGTGAGCCAGTTAGGCCAGGCTCAGCTGTTCATCTTTGAAGCCTTGGTTGCCCTCCCAGCAAAGGGGGCTCAGTGGTGAGTGCTGAACGATGGAAAAGCTGGAGTTCTACCATAGTAAAGTCCCTGAGAAAAAAAGGTGTTACACTAATTGCTTTAACCTTCTTTCCCAACATTGGGGGTGGGAGGGCGGGACGGGGAGAGCAGAGTAGCCAGAAGCTGAAAGTGGACAGTGGCTGAAAAACAACACACCCAATCCCAAAAGGCGTCTCCACTAACCAAAGGTTGCGGGGTGGACTCTGAGCCCGCCATGTACCCTGCCCTGTCCTGCCCCACTGCCAGTGTCTGTGCTCACACGCAGCCTTCACAGACAGGGCAGCTGAGCTTCCAAGGCTAAAGTCACCAGCCAAGGGAGCTGGTCTCCTACAGTGTCTCATGGATGGGGCTGTGTGTGAATGTACCCCGGCAAAAAGTGTGCTGGAAGCTTGCCATGTGTGTTAGTGGTATTTGGAAGAGGTCTTTGAGGGTGGGGCTGCTGGGGTGACATTCTGGCCTTGTAAGAAGAGGAAGAGGGACCTGTATGGTGGCACTGTAGGTAACTTTTGCCTATGGGCACACACAGGTATGCCTGTTCGAGTCCTGGCATGATGGCTCAGTGGCTAAAATCCTCACCTTGCACATGCCTAATGATGAACAGGTGGGATTTTTGGCACCATGGTTAAGACACCCGTATCTCATGTCAGGGAGCACCTCCAGCTGCTCCCCATTCCAGCTTCCTGCTAATGCTCACCCTGGGAAGGAGCAGGTGACAGCTCAAGGTCCCTCTGGCATTCATGTGGGAGACCCAGATGAAGTTCTTGGCTCCTGGCTTCTGCCTGTTGGAGCCACTAGGGGAGTGAATCGACCACCAACAGGTGGAAGTGGATGATTGCCTGTTAGTCTTTTAAATATGGTAAATACTGAGGACTTTGTATTTGCCCTGAGAGACTAACCCACCCCTGAAGTGCAGTAAGTAGGCCTTGGGCATTCTGGGACACATGGAATGACCTGTGGCAAAGGTCTGGGAAACA